CTGGCCATGCTTTCTACAAACAGTGGCACTGCTGCAGACTTCCGCATTAAACTCAATGATGCTGACATTGGCTGAGTTCATGCCCCATCAGCACAAGCTGCCGGAAGAGTGGCTGTCTTTTGTTCACTGCGTGAAACCATGGCCACAGGTGTCTGCCGAGGCTATGAGATCGTGGAGCCGTAACCGGTGTAGCCACCTCATGCGCAAGCGGTATCGTCATCACTGCAACGCACAAGGACTCACGGAAGAAAACTGATGCCATGGTGAAGGCTGGGTGGGTCACCAAACGCTGCTGTCCTAAGCCTGCCACAAGTCATCGCAGACAGGATGCCAAAGAACATCAGCGAACTATGCATTGAAGAGTCCACGGCCTTGCACCCTGCATTCCTTCTGATCTGTCCAAGGAAACATCATGATCGCCTTTTGCCCAGGCATTCTTTTGTCTCATGCCATCTTGCGCAAGAACCAGCATACGAGGCGCCGACCGTGAGTCCTGAGTCCACTCACTGCTGCCATGTTTCTCTATGTTTCCCGTATCCCTCTCTTTTTGTGATTGCATACATCGATTCGTGACTTCTGGGTGCCATGAAGAACCGGAGGCACGATCACACGTTCTCATGCTTCCCCTTATGCTGAGTCGTTGTGTCGGCATAAGAAGACTAAGCCAAGCATCTTCTCCGCCTCGGTTCTCTTCAGCTTTCGGTACTGGCCATACCTTTTGCAGGTCTACCGAACTTTCAGCTGCAAGCCCCATTTGCACAAAGGCAGTCTGAGGATTGCGCGAGTACAGAGAGTACACAATGCCACCACCGCCGAAAAGAAGAACCAGAATCAGGACAAAGACCCAGTGGGGCAGATCCTGGAGCTTGTGCAACTGACCTTGTAACTAACCTTTCTGGCCTTGCTGACGCCTCTTGGTCCCGGACGTTGGCTACCCGGAAATCCCTCGCATATACCGGGGCACACCCGATGCGAACAAGGTCATACAGCCACCTGAGCATCAAAGTCACCAGTCATCGTGAGTACCACCTAAACACCTGCACACCAGCGCTGCATTGGTGCTGAGGCCCCAGTCCACAGGCCCAGTCCTCCAAGCGTCACCAGCCTGGGGCGTACTTTTTTACATATATAGTGGAAAGCATCATCCGAAGAAAACTGAACACGCACGCACACACACACACATCCGTTCTGAGGGGGCCCACTTTATCAGCCCGCTGATCGGAAAGCCCAGATAGAAACGATCCAAGCCTGGGCGTGAATCATTCTTAGAATCATTGCTGGAGTCGTGCTCTCAATGGTGCAAACGGCACCACTGCACCACCAAGCCGAATTCTTCAGGTTGGTCTCCAGACGAAGGCTCTGGCGGGCGCACTTTTGTCTGCTACAGGCGCGAAGTTGCAGCTACGGTGCTGGTCGCTTTGTCAACTGCCGCTTTCATCACAACTTCGTATATTCTAGGCATGTGGTCGACTACCATTCGGTGACCCCCGGACAAGTCGATGCGAGGCGCTAACGCCTCTGGCTCGAGCTCCTCGACTTCACCATCTGACTGGACGAGGAAACATCGACCAGCAGGGTAGAGCTTAAGCGTCTCTATGGATTCGCCCGAAGCGTTCATTGTGTCAGTCTTGCTGATCAGAGCCTCTTCTAAACCCACTGGAATTGCTTGTGCAGCAGCTTGCACAGCTTTCAAGATGCCTCCAGAGTCATGGGCTGCCTGTGCTTTCTCCAAAAGACGCTTTACAAGGTCGCCAGCACTGGCGGCTGCAAGCACAGCGCGGTGGTGAAGTTCCAGCAGATGGCCAGTTGAGAGGCGTGGAACCACATCGTCAGCGTGGCAGAAGGATACGATGCGACCACGCAATGACTCACTGACAGCTGCTGAGCAAATCCCGGGAGCACCGAAGCTGAAGCACTGCACTCGGAGATGCTGCTGTGCATCCTTCGCATCAGCGTTGACAGGATGAGCACCGGTTTGACATTCAGCTGCGGGAAAAATGGTCACAGGCAGCTCGTGGCCAACGACCAGCTCCACAAAAAGCATGGTCAAATATGCAGCAACCCCACCACCCAAGCTATGCCCCGCAAAAGTGATTGTATCGACTTGGCCAGAAATATCTCGCAGAACCGGCTCAATGACCCGAAGGACATTGCAGGCGCTCTGCAGCATGTTCTTGTGAGCCTGCATCATCCGACGGAAGAAGCACAGATCAACAATTCCAACATCTGCACACGATCAGCACAGAAGGCAGTCGACACAAAACAAAAAGAGCTTCTGGCTTTGACCAAATTGTGGCACAGGGCCTTTCCTCCAAGGAAAAGGTCCACCTCCTCAGCTCCCAGGTCGGTCAGCACATCTGGCACGCTGAGGGTGCCTGACCAGATTCGCTTGCAAGATCTTTGGATGGCTGTCAGATTGCTGGCGGCTTGCAGGTGCCTCGAACGGTCACAACAGCCTCACGGCGCTCGTGATCAACAAGCACGTAGTGGGCTGGAAGTAGCCAGCCAGCTCTCAGCGAGGCGTGGGGCAACGACACCTGCAAATACACGTTGCCAACACGTTCTCAACCCACAACCTGTCCCAACACAACGCCCACGACCCGCAAGAAAGTCTGTGAGCAGCCGAGAAAACCGAGATATTCTATCCGCAGCCCCAGCGGCGCTAGTAGCAGTAACGGCCCTCGCCCCTTGAAACACTTGGTAACCTTCCGGCAGCCTTCTCCGGGTTGAGGCTTCCACCGACGTGTTTGCACAGTAGGTGGAGGAAGTTTCTCTCGGTCACAGAAACTGAAGGTCCAGGGCGGAGAGTCACGCGTCCATAGGCAGCCGAGGACAAGCGCATGTATCGAAGAGCTTCCGCAAGGAAATCGCCATCGCAGATACCCCTTCGAGGGGACTCTGAGACCGAAGGCTCCTTGGATGGCTTCTCGCGCTTCCGCTCGTTCCTGTCCTTGGTGTGGCGGGGTTGCTGTGGCCTACATTGACGGTACGTTTACAGCACGGTTTCTCGCGTGCAGCCCTTGGTTGCCATCCAAGTAGAACTCAGCAGTTTTCAGAGGGTCAGCAGCGGATTCGGAAACTAAAACTTACGTGATCCTGGAAACCTGAAAAAGGCAGATTCGAGAAAACAAAAGCGCGGATTCGCAAGCCGCGGAGTTGGGATTCTGGAAACCACCCCCCACCACCCCTCCCCCCCCCTGCCCCGGTAAATTTCCTGAACGGCGTGGTTTGCTGCATCACGTGGTTTCCTGAATCACGTCCAGCTTGCGAATGGTGGTCCAATTGCTAAATCGTTGTGTCTTTTCATCAGCACCCCTCCAACCACCCCTCCCATCTTCGTGTGCGCTCAGGTTTCAGGGGTTTGGGGCTTCGTCTTAGGATTCTTAGCTTTGGTTTGAGGCTTAGAGGATGGGCACAAGTCACAACATGGCAAGCGCCTTCCACGGCAGCTGCCTTTCGTGGGCTTCATTGCCTCGCCCCCATGTGCTTGATTTTCGGGTTTTCGGGTTGCTGAGGTCCAGTCATGCAGCACGAGGACGTTCAGGCCAACCAGCGTCTTTGGCAGCGTTTCGGGCGAGATCTTGGCCATGAGACTCCGGTACACGTTTGAAACCTAGGTTCTGGGATATGCCCAGTGACACACCAGACTCACAAAGCCAAGAACCGCAGAAAGCGTGCTACTTGCTGACACTCAGCGGGGCCCAGCGCGTCCGATAGTTGGTGCTCCCAGGGCGCCTGCCAGGCCGCCTGCTTCTCGGTGCGCACCTCGAGATTTGACATGAATTGACCTCTCATTCTCTTTGCACCAGCATTACCAGTAAACATCCACCTTCCGCCCTAGTCAATCCGCTGCAATCTGCTGAGCTCGCAGCATCTGCTCCTGACGAACTGTTAGGGTATGCCAACGATGGCACCAGATCCTCCAGTCCAAAAACTTGTAAGACCAACTAAAGTGACAAAACTTGCCATCGGTAATGAAGGTGCACACGCTTGCACTTGCGTTACAGCGGCTGGCAGGCGGTCGAGATTGACGTGCCATCTGCCTTGCTGCGTAACATTCTGCGCAAACTGCTGAGAACTGGCCTCCCCAAGATCGTAGTATTGGACACAGCAGGCCTTCTGCACCTTGACAATGGCTCCACCTCGAAGCCCTTCAGGGAAGACACATCGACAGTTCTCCCACCCTTAGACTACGTGGATGCGGCAAACTGCTTGCAACATCTTGCACCGGTCAGACTCCGGTTGCAGCCCTGCCTCAACCGGTCCCTCCAATGCCTGTGCAGGGCGACTTGAGCTGCCACAAGGCTGGCCGCCCAAATCTCTTGGATGGCAGGCATTTGACGATCATGGCACGCGCAGCTGAGGCCGCTTTTGAGAAAACACCATACAGTGTCGGAGGCTTTCGCAACACCTCAACGACTTAAACATCTGTGGCCTGCATGTATTCTCTCAAGTCTGTGCCAGTCGTGCCAACAGTTGCTCACACCTGCTGCGGGAGTGCAGTCAAGCTTCTTGCATGGATCGACTCTTTCGCTTTGCACTTGCATATCTCTGGTTGGTCAATTCCTATGCCAAGGCGCTCTGTATGCTGCTTTGTCACTCTCTCTCTCTCTCTCTCGCCAGCATGCCGGTCTCTTGCGATTGGTTGGAACTTGTGTGGTGTAGCTGCACTTATGGCTAGCATCACAGCTTTGCTGTACCACACGCAGGAGTTTCGCATCTACGCTCGGGCATCCATAACCACAGCCTGCCGGGCCACGCTAACAATATGCTAGCCTCTAAGTACTTTTTCAGCCTTTCAGCAGTTTGCCCGACTGGAGGTCGGAAGTGGAGGCGGACTTGTTGTGGACCACCCACAGCCACCACAGCGTCCGGACTCTTCACTCCTTGCTCCTGCAAACTGCACGCGGTACAAGACAGTGTTACCTGACAAAGGCAACATGCCTGCCGCGGCCAAACGAACACTTGCCTAGAGTGGTCAGGGCCATATTTCACCAGGA